TCCTGATCGCACCTGGTTAGGACGTGGTGTTGAAACAAACTCTCATCCCTGTGTGGTGAAAAGAAATACACACTTTTTAAAGTGAATTTTCAAACTGGGACTTTGGGCATTGGCTGCCATTCTATAAACTGTTCAAACCTCTGGAATTAACATTTTAAAACCGAGGGAGGTCGTTTTGCTGGTGCAAAGTTATTTCAGGCACCATTCTCCGTTTTCACTGCGGAGCCAAGCTCACGTCTACATGTTTGGTTAAGAGGAGGTTACAGCCAGAGTTCCTTGAGGTCCTTGAGAGCCTTGCTGGCCGATGTTGAAGAAGGGAGGAGTTTTTTTGAAGAGAAGATGATGTATCCTCAAGCATGGCTTCATCTCTGCTCCGTCCCTGCAGCTCCAAGCCGACTAGCCTCCACAGCGCCCATGGTCAGTGGTTTATGGGCCCAGCTGTGCTTCTTTCTTCTGCGAGGAGAGGAGGTGATGGCTCCCATCCCAGTTCATTGATATATCTCCATGAATGCACATGGCAAAACCAAAACCTTTAAAAGAAACTATGCGCCGGCCAGTAAACTGCATCCAAGGTGGATGTGGTAGAGCTGGCATCCTTTCTAATTGTGGGTGTTGGTTGTCAAAGTCGCTGGGAGAGAGGAGGAGGGGGCGATGGACTAAGGCCCTGATATACTTACTGCTATTTTCTTTTTCATTCTTTGCTTTTGGGTAAAAGAAGCTTGAAATGCCTGAGAAATGCTATACTGTTAGGAAACATCCCAACTGCTGAGAGCGGTGCTTAGATGATAAAATGAACGCACATTAAAAATAACAACGGTTACAAAACAGTAGTTAAGAAAGCATCTGATCATAGCGACTTTGATCTTTTGCGCACTCAAGTTCGTTATTTCAAATGTAGGCGCTTTATATGCGCTCATAATGGAAGTGACGCGGTCGCGGTTGCGTTTTTTCCAAGCGTGTCCGCGCCGCATCAAGATTAAAACATCTCAACTTTTCAGAAAACCACAAGCGCAACATAAGCGCACAGTAGGTTACGTGACAAGAACCAACTGGAGCGCAACCACCCTAGCGCTTTGGAAATAGGAGAATGCGGCGCCCAGCGTTTTCTACGCGTTTTTAGGCGCTATATGTGAATCCGGCCTAAAGCAAGCATCTTTACACAATTAATAGTGCAGACTGATCTCATGAAGTAGAGTGTGTATGACACGCCAATTCGTATTTCCATTTTTGGCGTGCCATCAAGACGCATAATCTCTTTTCAGCGTGTTTATGAACGCCGTTGACTTAACGTTATTACTGTATAAATAAATATATGACTTACGTCAACCCTGTCCCTAAACCTAACCGTCACTGGGGTTAATAGCATTTATGACTGTTCCCTTACCATAGTAGGAAAAAAAAAAGATATGACTTACCTCAACCCCGTCCCTAAACCTAACCGTCACTGGGGTTAATGACATTTATGAGTGTTCCCTTACCATCCTAGGAAAAAAAAGATCGCTCCCCAGATGTAGAGCTACATTTTGCTTCGTTTCGCGCGGACATTTGACGGCGTGTACAGACACGCGGAATCACTCGGACTTTAATGGCGTAGACATACACGCATACACGTGGATAGCTCAAAATGCGTAGAGACAACGCGCCACTTGACTCGAAAGTGACGTGTATGTTTACGCAAAAGTCATGATGTCATGTTGAATAGTGTGTTAGAAAGTGTTTACCAGCTGGAGCGAACTTTTCCAGAAAAGTCCCGAAACAAACTCCAAACAAACTTCATGTTGGTCTGATTTTGTTCGGAATTACTTCGCAACAGTTTGTTCTTCGATTTAGCTCGAGGACTAAACATCGGCTTTGCCATCTCACACAGAGAGCAAAGCATTTTCTCCCTACACGCTGTCTGCCGCCAGCCCCGTGCCGAGTTCAAACAACCCAAAGGAGTGGCTCCTCTAACTGCAACTGGGGGCCATTATCCTGCTCTTTTGTGTCTGCTTTATGGGAAGAGGGCCCGGATCACCACTCGGGGAGGAACTGGCAGACTATTATACTGGGCAGGGCTAGAGCCTGAGACACATAGTACGCAGATTACACAAGGCACCTCAGCGGGTACAAAAGGGGGCCTAATTAGACCAGGCCTGGGTGAGGTCCAGAGAAATCCAGAGTGAGAGAGAGAGAAAGCTACCAGGCCTTAAAACGCGCCCTGCTCCTCAGCAGCTCCAGCGCAGAGTGAGTAAGAGAGGGATGGATGGGGGAGAAAGAAAAGGAGAATAAGAAACGGAAAAGCCATGTAAGCAGCTTTGCGAGTGTGCCACTACCTCAGGGATGGTATTGATTAACAGGGTTTCTCTCGCTGCCAAAGATGTCTTAAGCTGCTATGAGCTGGTGAAGGCCAGCAAGCACGCCATTTTGTTTGCCCTGTTAATGTACAGTTCAGTGGCCTTTGTGCCTTGCAAAAACTCATTAGAATGTTCTTTCTCCCTCTTCCCTAATTGATATTTTCAAATGTATTATTCATCATTTTCTATTAATCAACTTGTTTTTCTCATGCTTGGTACTGAAATCATAACATAACAAACATAAAAGCGAACATAATAAGAAACGTCTGAGCATTAAAATGTTCTTCTGAGTCTTAATTTTACTCTTTTGACATTTAGGAGTGCATATAGCTTCTAAGGGGACGTTTACACAACACCATTTTCAGCTAAAAACCAAAAACTCTTTATGTATTTTCGCCGTTCATGGTTTTTGGGTGGCCTTAAAAAAAAAACGGGTTTCAAAGTGCAAGTTTTTGAAAACAGTATCTTTATCGTCTCTGTGTAAACTACAAAACCATGAATTTGGGAAAACAGTGTCATCATTGATTCGCATGCTTATTACGTTTACTCTATAGGCTTGTAGTGTTTCTTTACAAAGTGACATCGCCATCTACTGGCCTGGAATAATGAATGAATAATACAGCGTTTTAGTCGCTTTTGTGGATCGTTTTCATAATGTTGTCGTCTGTACGCAAAAAACGCGAAGGAAAACTTTTCATGTATCCTAAAAGACAACAACTCCAAATTTGATGTCAAGGGCTCTTTAACAACCAGTTGTTCAATGAAGTCTCAAAAAAGTGTTTTTAAAATTGTCTTTGAGTGTTCGTGCTTGCTCTTGAGTGTCCTAAGTTTACATCTGACTGCTTCTTTTAAGCATAGTTTGGAGGCTATGTGATTATGACGTGCTTCTTGCCAAACCCTCAATGAATTTCATAGGCCGCAGGATGCTCTCCCTCCTTGAGTCTGCTCCCCTGTTGCATACAGGGTAATTACATGCTAAACACTAAGAATGGATTTGTTTTTGTCACAAACAATATGAACTGAAACGCATAGCCAGGCCTTTTACTTCCAGCACAAATTCTCGATGGATCCGATTCTAGACTCGCCCCTATAAAGAATCTGAATTAACCACATACAGTTTTTTTTTTTTTTTTTTTTTTGAGTGTGTAATCTGAAATGCAAGATTTCTTTTACCTTTTTGAATGTCTTTTTCTTCTGGTCGCCGTAATTTTGCCAAGTAAGACATGTTCCTGGATCAACATTTTTTATTGATCCTGGAAAAACCTTCCTGTCTGAAAACATAGTCCTAAACTTATCCCTACCCCTAACCCTACACACAACTTGTACCTAAATTAGAGACAGAAATGATAGGTGAATAACACTAATAGAAGCACATGACCTGACGAGTTGCATGCCTAAACTTGACATAAACTTGTCCCTCAAATTTAATTGGTTGATTGGAATGTTTTTCCAGGATCGACAAAGATGTTGATCCAGGGACATTTTGTACTTGGTGAAATCACATTCACCGTTTTCTCCTCTTGAATTGTAGTATGATTATATAGGCCTACTTTAGTTAATTGATCCAGGGACATTTTGTACTTGGTGAAATCCAATTCACGTTTTTCTCCTTATCCTGAATTTTAGCATCTCTTCACCAGGTGCAGATGGTTGCCTTACATATGCATTAGTCAGTTGCAGTGCTGACATACTTATAATTGTATACGTCTAAAGTATTATTTTAAAAGGTTCCCACAGAACCCACCCACGTTTGTCTTTCTACAAACTAAACAATGGCTTAGACTTACTTTATGACTCACCACATCATTGTAAAAAAAAAAAGAGTTGCTGCTTTAAAAATTTAAGTACAAACAACTTGGATGTTTTAAGTAATTTAATCTTGTATAAATTGCTTACCTTATTTTGATGAGTTACAGTGAGAGCACAGTGCTAACAAGAATGTAACATAGACAGCATTGCTTTGATAATTTGGTCTCAAATACATTAGAAATGCATTTTCTAGACGTCTGATGGCCACAGTGTGCGACGTGAAATCTCTTTTAAAACTCAATAGAAAACACGTGAGATAATGTGGGCAGGTTTCAGAAAATTAATATTAACATGACGGAAAAATAAACATTCAATCAAAAACCTGTAGGACTTACTTTCAAACCATTATGGTTACCATTGAAAAAAGACATTTACAAAAAAAAATGCTTTATGTTCAACAGAAGAAAAAAGAAAAGTAATTCAGATGAGTGAGTAGCCTAAATGATGGAGAATTTTTCATTTTTTGGGTGAACAACCTTATCTGTTTAAGCTCTTATTACGGTCTTTTTCCTTTCTTCATACTATATGTCACTTTACCCCTTGATTTTTACAAGATCATAATACTTCTAATCCTTGATGTGTTGAGAGAATTCCAGATGTGAAATGATATCAAGGGGTCAGGTTTATGCTTGTAAAATCACTCTTACACCACTCCCAGGTAATTCCCAAGGCTGTTATCAGTGTGTTTGATGATAAAGTGCTGGAATGTGTTCAGATGCTGTTTTATAGCATGCTGTCACATCCTGTGAATCACTCACTCTTTACACAGCCACAATAAAACGGCAACTTAATAGAATAGCGTCATGCATGATTTTGCGACAATTGACAAAAAAAAAAAGACTGCACTGCACGGCTTAAACTCCGCGTTTATCTCTGACAGACAGGGAGTGAAGGAGCAGTTAGCACACAGTTACTGCACAGTAGCCGCTGCTGCAGTTGATGACCTGCTCCAGCCCAGCACATCTGGCGCCGGCACAAACACACTGGAGTAATAGCACATTTGAAGGCAGGCGATAGAAGAAGATTACACGGAGCGCCTGAAAGACTTCCTGTTCGCTCTCTCTCTCTCTCTCTCTCTCTCTCTCTCTCATGAGCGAGACCTGCGGAAGTCTTCTCACCTTGGCTCAGGGCGCTCTAATTACAGAACTTCACCTGACAGCAGTTAGACGGACATGCACGCACACGCTTTCACGCTTGATGGTTCGGGGATGTACAGAGCAGGAGGTGAGACCACACTAAGGGTATTAGAGAAGACAATGCCGGAGATGTTCCCTCCTATTATGAAACGTAAGATTGGATTAACATGCCTTGGTGTGGCTGAGGCGCATCATTCACACCCCAGATAATGGAGCTCGATAAAAATGCCATCTTCCTGTCATATTGTTCGCTCTGAGTCTTGCTTATCTTTTGGCAATTGGGTAATATTATGACAATATCAGCTCAGTTTGAGTTCAAATTGACCTTGCAGAGTTTCATCAAGAGGTGAATGCCTTTGCCGAAAGTTTGAGGTAGTTTTGAGAGCACTGCTGCAGCAACGTTCCTGCACTGCTCCCTCCCTCCCATCTATAATTGCAGGGTTAAGAGGGGCCTCACTGACGTACACACAGGATTTATTTTAGTGAGTTTCCACAGAGCTTAGAAGAATGCCATAGCACACCCTACGCACACACACACACACACACACACACACACACACATACATACATACATAGAGTTACATACTAGTTATACAAATGCACTCTCATTCCATTGCATGCACTCACTCACTTAAACACACACACACTCACACAGCCTTGGGCAAGTTTCTGATCATATAAATCATCCGTACATCTTCACAGCCTTCTTCTCTCTTTAGGCAAAAACACACACACACACACACAATAGACCTTGTTTAGTTTTGCGGTTTCAGTTTGGCTGTTTACCCATGTTAAAGACCTTTGATAATTTATAGTCACTGCACAATTTCATTGAGAATTTTTCCTTTAAAGGGCTTCCTTGTTGTCGCAAGCATTGATACAATGGGCCGGCTTTGTAAACTACTCGGGTTTGTGTTTGGTTTTTTGCATTTTAAAGACTGACTCATTGTCTTTAGGTCTTAGTTGAAAATGGAGCACATTAGTATGTTTTCTCTCTCTCTTAACACTGAGATGCTGCGCCTGATTCCACTACAATCTTCCCATTCAGCAGCATGTAGCCATGACAGTGGGCCGTGTCCCTACTCCTGAAACCTGGCCAGGACCCCCCTTTTTCTGAAGAATGAGAAAGGCATTCCTTTTTTCAGTTAACCCCTACCAGGGGACAAGGCTCCATTAAAATGGAATCAGACTTAAATTACTTTGTCAGAACTTTTGTTTTAAAGAATGGAGAGGTGGTTTTTCATATGGATAGTGGCTGGTCCACCACAGACCATGGGTCGGTCACTCATTGACGTGTTGTTTTTGCATAGAATACAATGAAAAAAGTACCTACAATCATTCTTGACTAAACGTCCTTTCACAGAACAATAACAATATTTTTCCTCTGCGTTGTTATCGTTGTGGTGTGGACTTCATATCCTCATAAGTATGATTATGTAGGCCCATTTTAGTTAGTTATCTTGGTGCAAGGACCTTAACAATTAACTCTTGCTTTTTGCTTTATTAAAGGAGTAGTTCACTTTAAAAAAAAAAACTTGACTCTCCTGTTCGAACTCGTTCATCAAAATGAACGAATCTTTTCCCGAGTCAATTTGTTCATTTCTTTTGTTGAATGAACCCAATGACACGAAAAAAGATTTGTTCATTTTGATAAACGAGTTTGAACAGGAGAGTCACGAACGCGCATCACAGAACAGAGCAAGGCGACCATTTGAACTTATAAAAGTTAAACATTGTTATTTAAACGAGCGATTTTTTTCGCTTGATAAAACTCTTATTCATTGTCTGGAATCGTTTAAAGCCATTTGAACAGTTTGCAGTTTCCACTGAAACTGTCTTTTAGACCTTGAACTGTTTGGTTACCACTGCATTATATGGAGAAAAATGCGAGAATGTTTTCATCAAAAACCTTAATTTCTGAAAAAAAAAAAAAAAAGAATTTCATGGACATCTAGGATAACATGGGGGGGTGAGTAAATTATCAGAAAAAGTTTTTTTTTAACGTGAACTACTCCTTTAAGCGGTTGCACTTTTCGTTCCACTTCATCATATTTAGGCTATGTAGGCTACAGTATGCTGGAGACTACGTATGCTATTTTAAGTGAATAAGTTTTGCACTTTTTGCTGCATTCCAAAGTTAAAGTTTCCTGAACTTCCAAATTCGTATTACGTGAAAACGTGTGACCAATATAAAGACAAGAAGGCAACATAAATTTACAATAATTAGACGTTTTTTCAACGGAAATTTACCCATACCGAAAACGCGAATTTTAAAGCAGTTGTTTATTTTTGAAAACGTACGTTTATAAAACGCAACTTGATAAGACATTTGGGGTGTGAGTGTGTGCAGTTTACGTTGTGGAAAAAAGTCAGTATTGTCAACATTTTGGATTTTTTGGACTTGGCCTATAAATTGAAAAAACAAATAGGAAAACCTCCAACCACTGGCATATTGTCTTTCAGGTTCAGACGTCATCCCGGTACTACTCCTGTGTACTGTCACAAAGCCATTGATTTGGGCGCTAATTTGAGTAATCCGGATTCAACAACATTTTCTACGGTAAGAACAAATTTTTGTGAATACGCAATTGTTGTGAATCTGCCGAATGTTTTGTTTAAGAAGATTTTCAGCGCATCACATCCACTAAATAGGCTAATGGCCCAGTGTTGTGTTCAGTTGTTGATTCCAGTAAATTTCCTTTTATGGTTGCTATTATATTTGATTGGGTGATTAATCAAGAGACAGAATGTAGACTTGTAAGGCTTCAGTTGGTGTAAAAGCTGTTCCAAAAGACAGTCAACTTAATCATCGTGCCTTATACCTCCTTTATGCCTCATAGTAATCCCAGAATGTACTGAGATGGGTTTAGTGGAAAAAAAGTAGTGCTGAATTCTGAACCGTACAAGCATAAAACTCTTCAAGAGTGATATGCCAGGTTATATGGTCCAGTTTTTAGCAGAGAGGACTGACAAATGTTGATTATAAAATAATATAATTTAGAAATGTGTTCATAAAAACAGGTTAAAATAATTATAAGCATACTACATTACCCAAAATTCATACTATTAGACTATTACGGTGTTCATCTTGTGCAGTGTTATTTGTTTGACACACTCTTATCAATTGTAGAGCATTCCAGATCAGTGTACACACACACACAGAATCTGCCCACAGATTTCTGCAGAATCTGAACACCAGTCATTCATAATATTCATTTTAGACTGTAGCAATCTCAGCTAAATTTAACATATTTGACCACATCTGTTCTGCACAATTTGATTTTCCATCAAAATCGGTGCAGATTAAAAAAAGTTTCAGGATTATTATAATGAGGCACCAGCAAACTTGGAAACTCAGTAGGTTTTAGTGTTTACGGCTGGTTCTAAATTTGTCAATGTGGATTGTGGGTAGAAACAACGAAACAAAAGAGAATGTAAATCGCTCAAGTCATTTTTGATGCCCTCTTCTGCTATGCACGTTTGCCACAACATTCCCTCATGTCCCGTTTGTTTTTACAAGGCATAGCATTCCTTGATTTTAAACAATGTAATGCTGCTTTAATTTGGGGTGAACAAGCCGCTTTTCTTTTATGCTGGTCTACCAGCCTGTCCTATCATCAGTAAGAGAGACAGTTTTTTTTTTTCCAAGGGGGCCTATTAAATAGAAAATGTACAATGCTAACCACCTCTCTCTTTCTTTCTTTCTCTCTCTCTCCCTCTCTTCTCCCTCCTAATATGTTCCATATTGTGAGTTTAAATAGGGTGGACTCAGGAAATGCAGTCACACTGTCTTGCCTTTCCAAGATTCCAGGCTGAGGTTTGGCCCAGTGTGACGGTGGTTCTGCGGACCCGGGCTCCTGGGCAAGCCTGTGTCGGGTTTCCTCCTCTTGGGACAATAGGTGTCCACGTCGCCTGTTTTTGCAAGTTATATGCAAAATAGTTTGTTCTCTTCTGCTGCTTTGCAATGCAATCTTTGTGCAAATTACTTGTACAACAGTTACAGGAACTTAGTACTTGCAAATAATTTGGTGTGAGAATTCTGTACTAGTGAGTTTGTGCGTTCATCGGCATATCCTGAAGATTCCAGTCTCAGTACTGGGAGAATCTGGAGAACTTCAAGAACACTTCAGCGGAGCAGAAGAGATCAGAGATGTTCTGTGAATACCTCCCTCTTTCTCTACTCCAGCTAATCAATCACAGAGCCTGGTTTTCTGCTGCCAAACATCTGAAGTGCTTCTTGCAGGGGAATTAGACAGAGCAGCGTTGTAGCTCTCATTCATGTCTTTATCTCGGGCTGTATCTCACGCAGAATTGCCCGCGAGGAAAGTGCCTCCCGACTTTAAATAATATTCTTATTGCGGTTTTCAACTCGGCTGTTTGCAGCTTCACCTCGGGAGGAGCGTGCATGTGTGTGTGTGTGGAGGGGAAAAGGGGGGTTTTGGGTCCTTCTCAGAAGAAAAAAGATGAGTGAATAGATTCAGCTTCAGCTTAGAGGTCAGGTTACACATTCCAGGGGCACACACTACCGCCTGTCTCCACACTAAATTACCTGTGTGCATGTGTGTGTTTGTTCATTTGTGCATGTAACCCTACACATACTCTTCATAAACAACTGCATTTCAATACTCTGACGCACACACGCAGTATTCCTTTTCATAAATCCACAGACGCACACTCGTATGATATCCAGCATATAATTACAGTATTGTAAGAGGCGAATTACTCTGCATTAGCCTGTGGAGGGTTTATTTTGTGCAGCAGACTTTGACATTTCTGTGGGAGAGAATGAAGCTGGTATGAGGGCCAGGCTCCAGAGCAGTGCTGTGGAGAGGGGTAATGAGAGAGAGGAGCCCAGAGGCAGCCACTGTAATTGGGCTGTAAATGTCCAGAGAGCCCCAGGGACCAACCCCCACACATGGACTTTCCAGATGTTGGACGCCCTCTTCAATCATTCTGATATCTGAGTCACAGTAGCCACACCCATCTGTTGCATTTTTATAGAAAGTCTTCAATCACTGTTTTTTTTTTTTTTTTTTTTTTTAAATAAACAGTCGATCATATTAAGACACTCCAATTGTTTATAGATAACGCAATTGTATTTTGTGGTAAACATCTGAAGACGTCTAGAGTCTCAAACTGATTTCATTACTGCAAGTAACAGGCTCACTACCACATGTATCTGCCATGAAAGTCATAAACAATCGCATTTGAGGGACTACATGAAGGAAGGAAACGGAAAGAGAGAAAGAAGAAAAGAAGGGAAAGAAAGAGCACTGTTCTTTTAGTCTAATTTGTGGAAAAGCTTGTGCCCTTAAAACTCTGAGGAATCCAGTAAGAGAAACCACGGGAGTGGCTTTAAGTGCTGCTGGTGCCTACTGGACTGCTGTGTGTATGTGTGTAATTGAAAGAGAGAGAGAGAGAGAAAGAGAGCGAGCAGGACAAGGCCCTTCCACACTGTGGCTTTGATTAAGGCAACAATGCTGTTTATTTTACTATTTTCTGACTTCTAGGCAGAGAAACAAGAGGGATCTAGATGCAACAGATGATGTTTATTAAACATCCAAACCAGCTGATTTGCTGGAGATTTTAGATATTTACATTCCTTTTTTTTATGTAAGATGAAGCTTGCCGTACTTGACAGGTTACATTCTGAAAATGAATTCAACACCAAGTCCAAAAAGGAAATAACATAGACCTACTCTTATTTCTGAGCTTAACATAATCATTATCATTCAACAGTTTGTTCCAATGGACAAATTTGGCTGATATTTCGGCCACTGTAAAATCAAACATTGTTCTTAGTAAGAATTTTTTTTGTTAACTTCACTTAATGTCCAATAATTTGTTGAACTTACTTAAAATTTCTTCGTAATCTGTACTGTTTGCATGCTATGCCTTCGTTACTCAGAAAAACCTTGTAAACATTACTTGACTGGTTTGAGTACCAATTGGTTTGAGTAAGTTTTGGTCAGGTTTTTTTTTTTTTTAAGTATTAAGTATTTTTAAGTATACTCTTTTAAGTATAACCCCAATAACGATAGTAAATGAAATTATAATGGTAAAATAAAGCCAAAAATAAAAAAACAAAGCAATTTATTTATTCATGCCGCAATGCACTCGGGGAGTACAATTCCTGCAGATCACAGACAGAATTAAGTTGACAAAACTTAAATGGATTAAGTAAGAATAACTTGATGCAATTAAGTTATGCTTACTTAATTTTATTATGCAAACTCGTTCCCTTAGTTTCATTCAGTAAACTGAACTAATAGGTTTTTCCAGTGTAGTAGTGATTTCAAATGAGCCTGTGTTTATGAGCGAGTCATTGAATCATTGACTCATTGAGTTTAAATCACTTCACTCTAAAAATGCCTTGTTGTTTTAACCCAACTTTGGGTCAAATATGGACAAACCCAAACATTGGGTTAAAAATGTAATTAAAAAATTAACCCAATGGCTGGGTTTGTCCATATTTGACCCAAAGTTGGGTTAAAACAACCCAGCAATTTAGTTTCTGTTGGAATTAGTGTTTAAATCGTATTGTTTACATATAACTATGTTTCATTAAGATGTCAAATGTAGTTTGGCCTGATTAATAAACATGTATTACAATACTTTGGGTATTGGTTATACAAAAATAAACTTGCATATTTCCAACAGAACACCTTTATGTATTATGATTCATTATAAATCACAGATTAAGAAACAAAACACTACTGTTTGTTGCTTGAAGATACGTGACGGTTTATTATTTCACTTCGTTTGGATTGGTTTTCGTCGGCAGAGCAAAAAATGGAGGAAATAACTTGTCTTTAAAATGTAAGGTAAAAATGATTTCCTTGTCTGATATTTACAACAATACACTTGCTTGCTATTTTTTCATTTGAATCGACATAAGTTCAGCATTACAGTTTAATGCAAAGAGCACGCTTCACTATTTCACTCTCTGACATGATTATTGCCTGTTCAGATACATCATTTCACAAAGTAAAGAGCAGAAGGTGAGGATATGGGCTTATCCTTCTCTTTGTGCGCCTCTACTCAGCCGTATCTTCATCGGAGGAACCCAGGGCCCCCAAACTTGAACAAAAAATTCTGCTGAAGGCTTTAAAAGGCTCTGGCAGCTCCCTGTGTTAATAACCTGTCTTATTCCTGAGCCGCTGTGTAACCGAAGCCCCCGCTCGCATTCCTCTCTCTTTTGTTTGACTGCGTTTTGAGCTTTTGAGACTGCCGGAGCTCCTGACTGCTTTGCTTGTCTTGTGCCATCCTACTGGAGGCTGTTTAAGGCCTTAATCTGGACCTGTCTGTCAGCTCTGCCCTGTTAAGGCCTGAACTGATTGACTATGAATGCTAACTTCTGTCAGCGCCTGGGAGTAAAGACCTGAGGTTTGGGGGACGGAAAGGGGGACAAGTGAATGAGAGGGAAAGGTAAGATGGGGGGAAAAGAACCAAATGCACAGGTCAATGTTTTTCATGTGTGCTGCATTTACTGACAGAAGCTTTTCTGTTAGCTTCATTCTGAAAATTGGCCATATGATAATTGCATTACATGAATTTCAA